ATAGTACCAGTGTGCTTTCCCTCATCTAGTATTTTAATACCTGATATAATAAGCTTTGAATGTTTTTATAATTCCTTAATCCACTGGTTGGATAAGGAAAACATGTTCAGAAGGAGTAAATGATATGAATCATATGAATGCAATGATGTGAGGTTTCAGCAATGCATTCTGGAACATTATCGAGATTTAGGAGCACTTTAAAGCTGATGTTTTGTTGTATTAAGTAATGCTGGACTACTTTAATGAAAGAATTTTCAAACCGGTCATTAAAGAGGACTATTGCAATGCAATTCTTCGACACTCTGTAGCAAACCATGCATAACAAATTCTTTCTCTTATCAAATTGAAAGGAAATAATCAAGATAATATGCATACACTAAATTTCATTGTGCAAATCCACATTCGGCAAGGCATTACTTTACTGCAAACACTAAAAACAAAATACAAGGATATGACTGATCAAACTTCCTGTACCAACATTAGAGGCTTAAGAGGGCTTAGTGGTGCTATTTAATTAAAGAAACATTGAAATCTAAAACAAGGCCAAAATCAGGCCCATAAGCAGCAGAACAACTACCATACTACCTGAAATAACTTTAAATAGAACTAACAACTAATATATGAACTTAAAGTCAAGTCTGAAATTTACCAGCTACAACAAGTAACACATTATTACATACTTTGTAAAACAAAACACATGTTACCTACATGCATAAAAATATGCTACTTACATAATAAAATACAATAAAAAATAAAAGAAATAAAATAGCAGAATATCATAAACACCCTAGTTTTTCTTAAAACAGACAGAGAAAGTTTTAAACGCAATCAATATATAAATTCGTTTCAAATACGTATATTACAAATACGTATATTATGAAATTTGACAATTTCAATTTAATCAAAATCTCAATAACAACCTTGTATTTAGCATGCATATATTAAAACACTCAATTGATTTCGAGGCCAGCTACAGATCCCTCCTCATCAGGAGAACGAATTACTAGAAAGGGGAAAAAGGAAGAAAAATAAAGCATTGGCAAAGGAATCTCGAAACATGCGGTCATCAGCACTGCACGTGGTCGTAACCAGATTTTTAATCAGAGTTACACTGGCTGCCTACTTTTACTGAGCCAGGCTATCTGATAAAACATATAACACATAGATTATAAAACGCAAAAAAATCGGAGAAGTAAAAAAATAGGGAGCAAGGGGAAACTGCACCTTCATGCACCCAGTCTGAACCTCGAATTTTAATTTAGTCACTGTATTTTTACATAGATCCTTTAGAGTATTAAATTTAGCAATATCTGGGATAAATCTTAGATTAATATTTTTCATAGAAGGGCATCTAAATAACATTACTCATGCCACAAGGACAGGCACAATTTTTAATTAAAAACTTATTATAATAAAATGGGAAATGTCCATGATTAGTTAAAGCTTGATTAAGATACTGGTCACTTAGGCATCTTCTCTCACTTATAGTTACCATTAAATTATATGTGAATTTTCCTTTAGAATCTGGGTCGTTCCACTTTGCTTGCCAAAGAGTCAAGCTTTTTCTTCTCAACAAGGATTTCAAACTGTCAAAGGAAGTCTTTATTTCAAAATCAATAATTTGATTTTCAGTGGCAGCCTTTGCCAATCTGCTAACTCGTTACCAACAGTTCCAATATGACTTTTCGTCCAAAAGAGTTTAATATGTCTGAAAGGACTAAGAAAAATGAGCATATCATTTATTTGTTTAATTAAATCGTTACTTAGACAAACATCAGTAATTGAAACAATTGCGCTTTTGCAATTGCTATAGATTTCTACAGGATCTAGCATAGAATTATAAATAAGCCAATACAAGGCCTCTCACACAGCCACTAACTCTGTGTGATAGACAGAGGCATTGTCAGAAAGTCTATTTCTCGTGTGAGAATGCACAAAAGGCTGCCCCCACATAACCATTTAATTTAGATCTACCTGTAAAAACAGCGTAACATTAGAGAAGCCTTTATGCCAAATCAACTGTTTTAATAAAGCTGGATGAATGTCTAATCCTTTCTAAAAGTCAAGATCTCTAGCTGAGAAGACCTCATTGAAGCAATCTACTGTTTTATTACCAACTTTAAATTTAAAGATAGCATATTCTTTTTCTGCTAAAATATCAATTGGAAGACATCCAACTAAAATTTGAAGAGCTACTGTAGAAGCAGTTCTAAAACACTTAGTAATCCCCAATAAAGCGATTCTTTGAATTTGCAAAATTTTGTTACGCATTCGGACCGATCCAGTCCACTATGCGACACATGCATACAAGATCTTTCTCTCTGTAGCTCTTTTATATAAACTCTTAAGAACTTTGTATGGGTTTTCTTAATTTGCATAACAAATTTATTTTAAGTTTTCCTGTTCTCAACTTCTCAAACTTCCCCTCACATTCTCTCGCCAGGATGTAAATTTAAAGTTAAGTGAAGTGCTATTTAAACGTGCGATTATCTCAGTTTATTCAGAGTGTGTTTCGCTAGCCTAGCACACGTTTCATTTGTTATTTCATGGTCACTCGAGTAAGCCATTTGGCCTTATCAGTTTAATATCACGCCGGTTAAGATTTCTGTGAGTCCATCTCTTAGGAGTAATTTTGAAGTGCGCTCTTGCACTCATTTATTTTTCAGATTTGATTGTATTCTCATCTACGTTTAAGTTATCGCCACAAGTGAACGGTGTTTTTGTAATGCACGAAGCCCATGCTGTCTGTTATTTTAGTTTGAGTTAATAAAAGGTTATTTTGCACCCTTCTTCTGTGCTGGTATTTATTCCACGCCTGTGTGAGAATTCGCCAGGTTCATTGTAGGATCTAAGTCAGTATATGTGAAAAAGTAGAGAAAGATCTTACAACTTTGGAGATTCATTTTACTAAATATATTAAGAATATGAGTGCATTCGATCTTTATTTGATCTAGGTGAGGTATAAAAGTGAGCTTTTCATCGAACGTAATGTCCAAATATTTGATTGTCTTGATATCTAATTGGTTGTCCATACATTCTGCACCTAAGATGTATTGATCTAGTATTAGTTTTGGCATGACCCAAAAGAAAGCTCTTCTTTGGATCAAATTTAAGTTTAACATGGAAAGACCACTTCTCCAATTCTTGAGCGGCGAAACTTAAAAGCTTTATCAATAGTAGGACGACCACTTCCTGTGGCCAATAAAACAAAATAATCAGCATAAGCTTGTATACTAACATTTTGTGGTAAAGTTATATTAGCAATAATATTCCACAAAAAAAGACCAGATATTGAGCCTTGGAGGCAACCACTTTGGTAATTTCTGTGATGCCACTTATAAGGAAACCATCATATAAGGAAACTTTTCTTTCATTCAGAAAATCACATATCAATAAAGAGATGTTTCTTGGATATTTCATATCTTTTAATTCCTTTAATAAAATTGGCCACCAAACATTGTTGAAAGTGCTCTTTACATTTAAGGCTAAAATTGCAGTATGTTTGCTATTCCTTCTATTTTGATGGATGTCAGAAATTAAATTATCTATAGCCTGGGTAGTACCTTTACCCAGCATAAAACTAAATTGATTTTTATTTAAAATGTCATTTGGTAATAAAAAATATTGTAAATGTTGTGTCATGAGTTTATCCAGCACCTGTCTTCAGAAAAGCAGTAAACAAATGGGGCAAAAAGATAAAGAATCTTCTATATCCGTTCTTTCTTTGTAGAACAAAACTAAATCAGCCTCTTTCCAACATTCAGGAAATATTTCACTACGAAGACATTCATTCAGAGTACCCACAAAGAACTTTTTATTACATTCAAAGATTTCTAAAATAATTTCTATTATCAAGCCATTTTTACCAGGAGCTTTAACATTATTTAACTTTTTGAGAATAAATTCCACTTCATTCAAAGTAAAATCATGATCATTTACTGTCTCTGGCGGTATCCTACAATCTGATTTTATTTGATAATGAAATGACAGATCATCATAAGTAGTATCACAAGGAAAGTGATATTGTAGAAGGTAATTTACTGTCTTGTCTATATTCTTAGTACAAAATCCTTCTTGATATTTATTTCAAAGAGGCGATTTGTAAAGCTGTGTAGGATTCTCCACTGTGTAATTCTAAGTTAACATTGAAAGTGAAGAATCTTAAGAGCTGAACAGAACTCCGTCTTGGAGTTGTATAATAAAGCCAACACTTGGGCTTGAACTTAAGAGACTAAGAATCAGATCTTAACTAGAGAGATATAGCCGAAGCTATAAAAATTCTAACAGAATTTGCCCCGTAACGCTAATTGACTGCGAAGCTATCAAGGGCCTAAAGTACGGCCGAGCGTAATAATAGCTTACGAAAGAGTAGCCTAAAAAGGCGGACATGTGCAGCCAAAATATCTGGTATCTCTCTCACTAAGACAGAACTTCATGGTTAAATACCGCTCTTCCTCATTAGAATTCAGACGTGATTTTAAAACTACGTTCTGGACGGAAATGGTAAGTTGAAATTATGAATTGATAGGAGAGAAAGTTTAACTCAAAATTTAACTGTTAATAAAATTAACATAATCTTTACAGCTGGTTTATAGCAAAAATTTTATTGTAGCAAAAATACAAGAGTATACAAGACTCTCACGTGCATCTGCACCAATGGCAAATATGTGCTATGTAGTGCTGTACCATTCTTTGTAGATCATACTCTACTGCACAACATAACGATAATACACAAGACTGGCTTAACGTATTAAAAATATATGTCATTCTTATATAAATATTCTGGAAGACTCTCAGTTATTTAAAGACCTGCAATTCATGAAATGAGTCACATACTGCACAAAATTTGGGAGGATTTACTTTTTGAGTAGCAATAAAAAGAAATGTTTATGCATTTCACCTGCTTGAAAAGAATAAATTATACAATTAATTAAAGTCAGTTTACATAATTCACATAAGAAGTCTAGAACACATGTTACAATCCTTATAAACTAACTTACACTTTTAAGCAAACATTTCCCATTTTTGCATTAGGTGCTTTGGTTAACTTTCCACAAAAGGTATATATAAGGTGCTCACTCTGGAGAGGAGGAACCATGATCAGCAATGAAACAATGCTATTTAGTGTACATTCAGCATCTAAATTTAATTTAAACACATTAAATAACAATAGAATAAAGCATTAGTAACTACATGTTAAAGCAATTAATAAAATCAACACAGAAAGAATTTGGTGTTAAAATAGCAAGGTCTTTTCTGGAATACATAACATCTATTGTAATTACAATGAAAAAGTAAATAACTAACTATTAATTTTATTTAACGCTTCCAATATAAGCAATTACCTTTGAAATGGAGATATTTACAATTGAGACACTAAAAAAATTTTTCTAAAACACACTAACACACTGTAAATGGGAATTTTAAATTTAATAATTTTACTTTAATCTAAAAAGACAAAATTTATAAAAGAAGTCACTATAAAATTCAGAGGTTAAAATGCACATCCTTTTTGAAGACATTATGCAGGATGCAAATAAAACACATCTTATAATCTAAATATGGTAAGTTTTATTTTATAATGTTATGGATTAACAATTTGGAAATAGCCCAATGACGAAAAGTCCGCAATAGAATTTTTTCAATGAAAAGGCATCATTCATGATAGAAAATTACATTCGAACCACCACGATATGAAACTGTGTTTTAGCGGTAACTGAACAGCAAAATGATGGTGCAGGAAAGAAACCTGGTTTGGTTTGGTTTATTGAGATTACGGCAAAGCACACTAGGACTATCTGCCTAAGGGTAGGAGTGCGTTTGTGGAGGACTTTCCAAGGAAAACTGGCTTGTATACACGTTACACATGGGGAAAACCACGAAAACGGCCATGCAGCCAGCCCGTTTGCGGGATTCGAACCTCGGACCGAACTACCAGTGTTTAGCGACTTTACTGCTCAGCCCCTGGTGGGCCAGAAAAAAAAACCTGTAATGAGAAGAAAAAGATTAAGAAGTTAAAATTGTTCAAAGGATTGAAAATCCTTTTCCTCAGAGTAGTTATGTTTGTCTATTTATGATGTCAGGAGATGACATCTATTGAATTTTGTGAACTCCAAATGAAGATGCAATACAACTATACACTGGAACAGTTAATACATAAGGTGTGTGCCCGCATCTTTAATTGCTTGGCCTAAACTGAAAAAAATCGGCGGATGTGGAAAAAATTATTGAAGTAGACAAAAGCCTTCTCAGTAGAAGAAAGAATAATGTTGGACGTACTTTCCCTCCAGAATGGGTTTTCTGCGGATTGTGCAGAGAATCCAATGAATATTTCTTAATTGCTGCTCCAGACCGATTGGCAAAAACCTTATTGAACATCATAAAGGAAAATATTGTAGAAGGAAACATTATTTATGCTGACTGCTGGAATTCATATAAGTCAGATGAACAGTGAGATGCTGGCTTTGAGGATTTTACTGTCAATCACAACTACAATTTTGTAGACCCCCCAAAAAGTATATGTCATACACAAACAACAGAGTGGTTGTAGGGCAATGCTAAATGGCATAATAAACGCCATCAGGGCACTGCTTGACAACATTTTGATTCTTATGTGTCCAAATTTATGTACAGACGTTTGCAACAAAAAACTGAAATTTTTTCTGCAATGCTGGAGGATACCAAAAATTTTATGCCTCCCATTAAATTGCACTTATGTTTAGCCTTTTTTAATTAAAATAATAAAAAAATTATTATATGAAATTAACATGTCAGCAAATTAAATTAATAATCTTAGATAGTTAATTACAACTATGCTTTCTTTCAGTTATGTTTAGTTGCTAGTTTATAAATGATAACAATAAAATAATCTGAGATGGTTATTTACTATTATGCTTTCATTAAATTACATTCAGCCTTTTTTAATAATTATAATAATAATGTATTATATGAAATTAACCTTTTACGTAACTTGAAATAATAATCTTAGATAGTTATTTACTATTATGCTTCTTTTCTTGTGTTAGAGTTACCATAATTATTTTTGGCATCATCAGCATGAACATTAGTTTGGCAATTTTTTACAATCCCTATAACCGAATTGTACCAAGATATCTTATACAGTCAAAAGTCATTAATTCGGACACCCATAATCCGGACCTCAAAGCTACAAACTTTCTGCGCATGCATCGCATTGACGTATGCGCATAGGCGTTTAAGCATGCGCATATGCATGTGTGCATGCGCATAATACAAGTAAGCATGCGCGTTTAATGTATAACGGAAAGCTAAAATTATCTAATTATCTATTCCAGTTAATGTTGCAGATTGCATTGTTCCTTAACCTTCGAATTGGATCCGGCTTATTATTTTTTGCAGACTGTTAGAGCAATTTTATAAATGTAAGCTTGAACTTTCGATTATGTCAAATAGAATTTCCGATGCTGGAGCTCCCAAAGAATCTACAAAGCGAAAGTATGTTTCGATGTCCATCAAAGAAAAAGTGAAATTGCTGCAAAAAATGGATAAAGGCATATCCTTTGTTTCTCTAACCATTCCGAAATCTGTTTATCAACTTCACGCTGCTCTGCGGCAGAGGGGGGGGGGAACGCCGCGGCGTACAATGAATTGAAAGTTCATCTGTCAGCACTATCCTTATCTTCAGTGCAGATATTTTTATTTTATTTGGCTTATAATTCCTTACTAAATGTAGTATTTCATCTCGATGTACTCCGTCTTTAATATGGTTTAAATTAAATTCCTCGTCATTATAATTCACTTCCAATAGTGAAGAAAGTGACACAGAGGTTAATGAAAACGAAAAAATATCGATTGACAAATTAGTCGGTATTCTCGACAGAGCAATTATAGGACTTGAACAGTGGAACTTTGTAACTGAACAAGAAATTATGTCTGTTTATAGAATTAAAGAGAAAGTATTTTCACATAAAACGAAGCAACTTAAACAACTTACATTGTAAGAAATGTTTAATAAAGTAAACAAATAAATATTAAGCTTTCTGTTTTTGAAAATTTTGATACCCTTTAGATCATAATTGTTTTTTATTTCATAAATTACGGTTTCATACTTTTAATTTTATAATTTCTGCATGCCATCTTACCAGATTTAAACTGATGATCTATACTCCGGAATCGAAGTCCCGATGAGTCCGGATTAACAACTTTTGACTGTACCACTTGCTATGCACTGCTAATGAATGTGCATTGTTTTTGTGTATTTAGACTATTAGACATTGTTGCATATGACAGAAGACGTTTTAGTTTTAAATAATTTACACATGCATCTCCATAATAATAATTGAATCACACAAAAGAAAAGTAACCAAAAAAGAAATACAAAAATAAACAAATATGAGTAATTCAGAGTGGGAAACGTTTTCAAAGAAATAGGTTCATCTTTACATTATGGTAACTTGGAGATTTTTTGGCAAAAATTTGGCGATCAACTCTCTTACAGCAACCCTCTATTTTTTTTTTCCCCGCCGCCATTTTGTCTTCACGAAGTAAAGACATGTTTCTTTTCTTTTTATCTACTGAACACTTCCAACAATCTACTAGCCGAATTACACTTATGCTAGAAATTTTATCTAACAAAACTGCTTAATCATGACAAATATTCACTGCAAAATTGGGAAAAAGTGCACAATACCATACTCCTTACGCGTTTTTCAAAATAACACATACACATAAACCATGTACACGTCAACTTATTTTTACTTAAAAAAAAATCCCAGAATTACACAAAAATGGCATTGTGCACACTCTTCACTATATCCATGTACACTGCTTTTTTCTCATAAATTAGAAAAATTTCACGAAAATACATGACAATTTTCTGAATCTTTAAACCCGGTAAAAAGAACATATATAAAATTACCTGATCGCGAAAAAGTATATACCCTTTCCAAATATGAACATTTCCACATATAAAATAAATAAAATATCCAAAAACTTTTACCTCTAAATCATCTATTATATTATAAACGTCACCAACGAATTCATACCGCAAGCATTACAAATACTTAGTGTCAAATATTTAAATTATTTCCATGCACGTTTACTTCAACTAAAACGTATACCAAATTCCTACAAACATAAAATTCACAAAATAACTATCATTTAATTAAAATATAATTAAATTCAAAAACACTAATTAAAATATAAATAAGCACATACATTAAATTAATAAAAATTAGCTTACAATCCTATTTACTTTAAACTAAATCATTGCTAATAACAATTTTCCCAATAATACTAAATTACTTTACTTCCACCTTACATTTAGAACAATGCATAAAAATAATATCCTCAAATAATTAAAAATACTAACTTACCTAATCTTCTTCAGAATCTTGATTACGTGTCCGATAAACTTTTCTTATTTCTGTTTCAGGATCTTTAAAATCATACTTATAGTTCACAGCAAAGTACCAGGTAAAATAAATAACTTAATAAAACATCTTTACTTCTATCTCGCACAACCTTAAAGAAACACTTATTACTACCCCTTTCAATCCCACTACATACCCATTTCGAATTCACTTTAGTTAGGGCCATGGGATCCAAAAATTAACGAACACTGTTTCACACAACACAGAATAAAGCCAAATACAAAATTTCCAGATTTTTTCCCGATTTTCCCCCTTTTCCGATTAAAGAACCGTAATTTGTCCATTAATATCACATGACATATCCCATGATCTCTCATTTCCCTCACACAAAATAATGCGTAATCGGAACTGAGTACTGCTCACATTATTACCAAAGTCCCAGGTAGTAACCTTTATCGCCTCCAAAATGTCGCCAAACTACCAGTTACCATATTCTAAAGATCAGCCAAAAATTCAGATACCAAAAAAATTATACATACTTTTTAATTTATTTATTCCTATAAAGTTAATTTGTGTTTTATGAATAAATGAATAGTTTTTTTTTATTTCTTTCTACCAATATATATTCATCACTCTAACCACAGGCATCATCAAGTATACTTAACACGTATTTGCTACAAGAACATTTGTAGTCAGCAATAAATAAAATAAATCAAGTGGACAAATACGAGTATAATCATTATGGGCATCAAGGACCAGAATGTTGCTTACCCAGTAAACACTGTATATTTGTGAAAAAATTATGACACTTTTAAACAGCAATGAGCACATGTTTCTGGACTAGTTCCACAGCATCAGTACCTACAGTTTTGTTGTCCGATGGCAAGAAAAAAGATAATAATGTAGCATGAAATTTCCCACTTTACTCATTTGTTTATTTTTTAGATACTGCACTAAAAGTGGTTGCTGTTTTAAAAATTTCTTTTTCCTGCCATTTAATCACATTTACATTTAAAAATTTAATGTTGCCATTAAGAAATGAATAACTAAAAGTGATAGACTGCACGGCACATGATTACCAGAAAATTTTAAAATACTTTTGAAGGCCATTAAAAGAATAAGAAAAGAAATGAAACAAAAATAAAAAAATACAAAAACTGTCAAATATTAAACATATCTATTACAAAAACTGTGAAAATACAAGAAGATAATAACTAAATATAACATTTTTATTTTGAATTTGGTCAAAAATAAACTGGTAATGAATAAAGATCACATTTTTCGGGAAACAAGGCAATACCGCTACAAAAGCTTACGTTTTTCAAAATATAAGATTTTAAGACAAATTAGCATAAATATCAACAACCTCCCCAAACTTTTTTAAAGCTTTAAATTTTAACAAAACATTAAATATTTATTTATAACATAAAACTACTAAATTTCTCATTTAAAATGTTTCACACATAACATAATTAGCTGCATCTAACATAAAATGACAAAGGTGATACAATTATCATAAGTAAAATATAATAACAACTTATATTTTTTAATGTATTCAGTATATGAAAGTCATATAAATATTAGATTAAATTACCTCCCTCACTAGCTTCATGCAAACATATATCACAGGCACTAATAACTTGTTCTAAATCTACCAAAAATCCCTCCTCTGAATTTTCTTCTGAAATATCAGCACCCAAACTCTTCAGATAACAGCGTAAGTCTTGATACTGGAATAAGAAAAGCAGGAGTTTTAAACTGTAAGTAATAAAAATTAATTTTGATCAATGCAAAAATCAAAATATTGATAAGACCATTCAAAATGTTTTTTAATTGTATCTATCAAGTCACATTTACTTTGTGACTACTGATTCTTATTTTAAGTAAATATTTTTAAGTTTGACATATTGCTCCATAGTTTAATACATTTATTTTCTTGAAAAATGTTGTCTTACAACACGTCAGGGAACTTTTTCCACATTTATCAGAAAGCAAAGATTTAAATTAAAAAATTATATTACTTTGCATTGTTTACATCTTCGCATAGAAGTATTGTTAAAAAATGGGACAGAGATGACATGTCCTCAGATTGAATTATTGATGATTTTATGGAGAGAGAATATGGAAGTGGCAGCAATTTTTCTTGTAAAATATTTCAAATGTTTTTAATATTTAAAATTTTTTCCTTAAATTTAATACATATTACAATTTTTGCTTTCCACAATACACTACCTTTTATAAGTTTTGCACTTTCCTTTTCTCCCAAAATGTAGACTAAGAAAAGACATTTCAAAATGGTTTTGTATGCATTTTGCATTAATATACATCCATTCTGAAATGTATTTATTTTCGAAGTGTGCTCGACAGGATTTTCAAACACAAAAGCTATTTAAATTTCTAACTGAAAACATAGTAATTAGCTCTCTTTACTGCAGAATGAACATTCAAAAGTTGTTAATATCTCAAAAAGAACGCATAATAATAGCTGAATAAATTTGCAATGTAAAACAAAAACAAAAAAAACAAACAACAAAAAAAAAAAAAAAAAAAAAAAAAACCTAAATTTGAAACAACTAATTTATTTGCACTAATCGCTATAAAAAACGTGATCATCAAAAGAATATGGTTAAAATTATAAGGGCATTACAAGAAGATATAAAATTCGAAAACTCGGTTCCATAAAAATAAACATGTAATTTCTAATCTAAATCTAATATGAAACTGATCATATGAAATTCCATCACAATATGGCAAAAATAACAATTTTCATCTCATTTCCCATGTGAATTGAATACTGACCTGTTCTTCATCATTAGCATCGTTAAAAGTAGGAGCACTCATTCTAATTCGTCGATATTTTTCACCAAACTATTAAAAAATCTCTTTAAGTGGGACTTTTGCTTCAGGAGTCACGTTCACCCATCAACGGCATGAGCGAAAACTTACAATATTATTTGGTGGCAGAAGAAAGTGTTGCCAAATATCAATCTCCGAAAAATGACAGAATTTGTAATTAATATGAGTAGAAAATATAATGCAGTATTTATGGTTAATTTTCAAAAATAGGCCATATTTAAAATTAAATTTGCTGAAGTAGAAACTCCAGTGATGATGCAAAGTTTCAGTTATAGAATTAATCAGTGTTGTTTCATTTTTGGTTTAGACAAGCGGTCTGGCTGTTCAGACCAAAAGTTATCAATATTTCAAACAGATAAAATAAGAGTTTAAGTATTTTCTTCCCCATGAAATTCCATTTAAGCAGATTAAATCCGTGCAGCATAAAACGCTTATTAAAAACTAGAAAACCTGGCGGTCATACAAAATTACCGCTGTTATAGATATTATAAATTGTAATTAAAATGATTTCTGAAAAGGTGTCTGCTAATTCAAACTGAATTACCCAGGGCAAGCGGCAGGGATCAAGGCCAACTAGATATCTAGATCAACTAGTACCTTGCAGGGATGCCCCTTTGCTTGCTGCCCCACGGGGTTTCTCTCTTCTACTTGTGTTACGAGAACACAGAAAATATATAAATCAAATATATTTAAAACAGTTCGTTCAGTTGCGGGCCTGCCTCTACCCGAGGCTGGGTGCATTATGAATAAAGACAAAAAATTCTTAATAAGTCATTCTTTATTTCCATCAAAACAGTATCACTCTTCCGAGATCAGCTTTCGTTCCGTCTACAAGCAAAACATTCGAAACACTCAGCACGCAGGCTGACGTCACAAACAGCAGCGCCTCGCGCCGGTTATTACTTCAGTTCATTTCACAACATCCTCCCCCCCCCTTGAGACTCAGGTTGAGTCTCAAACTCATAACAAACATTATTTAAAAGATCAAGTCTTTTTGGAGCTTTTACAAGTCGTCCAGAGGAGGAATATTGTTGCATCACCATTTTATCAGGTGCAATTCCCTTTTTTAACGTACACCCAGCACTAGAATTAGATTCCTCTGCACCCAGTTTCTTATCAGGAATTATGTTTCTATCATTGGACTGTATCTCCAGAGGAAAGATGCGTTGTATTGGTCGTATAACTATTCCATGCCGGGTCTTAAGTTTAACCGTACGAATCTTTCCATCACGTCCAGGGATCAATTCTGTAATTCGGGCTAAAGGCCAAAATAAACGTTTTCTGTTATCATCCCCCATCAGTACTATTTCTCCTACTACAGGTTCCCGAGATCGTTTTTCATTATGCTTTTGAACCAGTTGACTAAGGTATTCTTTTCTAAATCGTTGTCTCAGATCATTTAACAATTTAGTTCTATACTTTAATCTCTTATTAAGACTTGACGAATTTAATTCATCAAGATCTTCAACATTGGAATTTCTGTTCTCGATAAGAAACATGGCGGGTGTCAGAGGTACTAATTCTTGCGGATCTTCAGAAACATAAGTTAAGGGTCTAGAATTAATTATAGTTTCACAATCACAAATAATAGTATAAAGTTCTTCATATGATAACACTGATTTACCTAAAGTAAAGTACGTTTTAGCAATTCTTTTACTGTACGAACCAACCTCTCCCACCAGCCACCCCACCAAGCTGCTGCAGTAGGTGGAATAAATTTCCAGATTATCCTTTCAGTTCCTGTTTCCTTTAATACTTTAGCCCAATTTAGTTTTGATAAATCATTAGATGCACCCCGAAAATTTGTCCCGTTATCACTATAGATTATTCTAGGGCGTCCGCGCCTAGCAACAAATCGTCGAAGCGCCAGGAGAAACGCATCAGTAGAAAGAGAATTTACGAGTTCAAGGTGAATGGCACGGTACACAGCGCAGGTGAACAGCGCGATCCACACCTTTCCTCCATTTTTTTTAAAAACAGCGGTCCGGCCAAATCAATCCCTATGATTTCGAAGGGCGCACAATCCGTAACTCGGTCTGGTGGCAGAGGTGTCGGTTCGCTTGACATAGCCTTAGTTTTAAATCTTTTACAAACGATACAGTTAAAGAGAACATTTTTAATGGCTTTTCTAGCTCTGACTATCCAAAATCTTTCTCGTAATATGCATTGCATCATCTGAAGACCAGCATGACAGTTCTTATTATGCACAGTGAAATCACTTTTTTCTGGTAACAGTATTGGATACAGAAAGGATTCATGGTCATCTCTATTTAGTATTCTCGTTTTAACTCTTAGAATACCATCATCATCAATGAGCGTTTCAATAAAATTATAATATTTCTTATCAGTCAGATAATAATTTTGAACCAAACGAATTAAATTTTTCTCAGAATTTTCAATTTCATACTGTGAAAGTTCAATGTTTCCATTCTTTTCAGAACCACCTTTACAATTATTTACAAATCTAAATATCCATGCAAATACTCTAATCATTTTATCATAATTGGATACACTGATTCGATGCCAAGGGGGTGCGTCTTTTGATAGATCAATATTCACTCTTTTTATCTTTTTTCTCTCCAATTCTACTTCTTCATGCAAATAAATAATCTCACCAGTGGGCCAGTTTTCAGGGCTTCTCGCAACCACAAGGGGCCTTCCCACCATCTAGACCGAAGCATTTGCTTCGCAAAACATCCGCGCGATAACAAGTCGGCAATATTTAGTTTCCCTGGGATATGTCTCCATGAATGACCTCGCGTCAACTCTCGAATCTCTTTAACCCTATTTTCGACGAAAACGGACCAATTTCCTTGCTCTGTTATCCACCAAAGGGCAGTGGTTGAATCAGACCAGAAGGTAACTTTTAAATCGGGCAAACTGAGAGCTTTGATAATAGAATTTGCAAGTCTAGAACCTATACAACAGGCCATTAATTCTAAGCGAGGAATGCTTAAAGATTTCAAAGGCGATACTCTAGACTTCGCCCGTACGAGATTTATTTTTACTTCAGAATTAAATATTGATCGAACAAAGACGCACGCTGCATACGCCCCCTTGCAAGCATCCACAAATACATGTAGTTCAGACGTGTCATTGATAAACAAGTATCGAGGCAAAGTAACATCTTTCAAAACATTAAGTTCTTTAAACCAGTTCAAAAATATATTTACATCATTCGGAGACAATTCATCATCCCATGCAATTTTCACTTTCCACAATTTTTGCAACAACAGTTTTGGAAGCAATGTAGTTGGCGTTAATAAACCAATAGGATCAAAAATTGTCTGCACAATTGCCAAAATTGTCCTCTTTGTGATTTTCGTATCACAGGTCAATGTATCTGTGTGTCTGTGCAGCACCTCAGCGTATCATTATCCAAATTCCAAATTACCCCCAAAACGGAAGTATCCCCTGAATGTTTGTCAACATTTGTACCAGCCACATTGCTTTCAAAACCGCGCAAGTTAAAACATCCATTTGACATGATTAATTTGGAATGTTCAATAAAAGTAAACTGTTCATCAATACTAAAAACACTAGATAAACAATTATCCACATAAAATGACGATTTCAATTTTTGAGCAACTTCACTATATTGACGTGGACAGTTTTCTAATAGATGCATTATAGATGCGTTCAACAAGTAGGGGCTCGAAGAAACTCCAAACACAACTCTGCAATGCCTATAAATTAATTGCCCTTCATTGCATGGGAAAAAAAATCTGAGAAAATCTCTATCTTTAGATGCGACGGATAACATTAAAAAAGCCTTTTCAATATCGGCACTAATACCAATCGGATACATTCTAAAACGATCTATAATATCAGGTATTAATTCAATAAGATTTATTCCTTTACACAAACATTCGTTCAAAGAGAGTTTCCCTTTCTCAGATGCAGAAGCGTCAAAAACAGGACGAATTTTCGTGGTTTCACTTCCTAATTTGATTACAGGCCTATGCGGCAAATAATGACATTCATTATTCAATTCGTTTTCTGGTACGCGTTCAATAATATTCAACCTTTCCCATTCCTTGAACACATTTTGATAATCATCGAAAAATTTACTACATCTGAGTTTTATAGATCATCTTTTGATACCTTTTCCAGGATAATTCTTTATTATCGGTTAAATGTGTCGTATCACATTTCCACGGAAGTTCTACTTCATATCTTCCATCTGGAAGAATTTTCATTTTGTTCTCAAATTCAGATAAATTAAAACTTTCATTCATTTTAACAGTTTCGTTTGGAGCGCATATTCCTATTTTTTCAAGTTCCCATAACTCATTCAGAGGAATTCTCCTGACATGCATTGAAAATGTTTTCAAAATATTATCCTTTTCACCCGAATTTCGTTTTCCAAATACCGTCCACCCAAGTTTCGTTTCGACAGCCGTTACCCCGGACTGTAATTCAATAGAATTTCCCGTCAATAATTTTCCTATAACATCTGCTCCGATTAAAAGGTTAATTTCAATTTCCTTTCGCAATGGATCAGAAAATTCGATTTCTTTTTCTTTTAATTCATTCAAAATCTCTTTATCTCCTTAACCTTAGGAATAAAACCGCAAATCTTTTTTTCCGATAATGCCTCAAAACTACATGCGAATGTTCCTTTTAAATTGCTGACCTCGACCGAAAACACTTCATGTTGTTTAGGTTTCGTTTCGTCCCCCCCCAAACAGTGCATGTATAACTGTCTCCTCCCGAAGTGGAGATGCTTTAAGCTGACTCATCATATTTTCACTAACGTAGCTACTTTGGCTTCCGCTATCAATTATGCAGCGAATAATTTTCTCGCGACCTTGACACCGAATTCGAACGCAAAGCGTTTGCAAAAATACAGTTTCGCTTCTGCCACAGTTAGAAAGAGAACTCTCTTTTGAAACATTTATCTGATCATTATTTTTTAGCTTTTGATTACACATTACATCAAAATGATTACAACTTTTGCAAATAGAACAACTTAACTTACCTTT